CCTTAATCCTAAACCCTAAACCCGAAGCCCTAAACCCTAAACCCTCCCTACATGCGCCGGCCTTGTGACCTCTGCCATTCCCCTCGATGTCTTTCATGAGCTCCTCCCCCATGTACGGGGTGAGCATGTTCCTGCACTCTGCAGGATTCGGGCCCCAGAGGGTTTAAGGTTTAGAGTTTAAGGTTTAGGGTTTGGGTTTCAGGTTCAGGGTTTAAGGTTTAGGGTTTAGGGTTTAAGGTTTAGGGTTTAGGGTTTAGGGTTTAAGGTTTAGGGTTTAGGGTTTGGGATTAGGGCTCACGCTTCAGGGTGGTGAGGAAGGGCCTGAGCTATGCTGCAAGGCCCGCCGAAGTCTCGTTTCTGACTAGCACCTTTCCCACAAATATGCCACCCAACCTAAATCCTAAACCTTGCTTGCGGCCACAAGGGGCAGGCGAGCGCCGAAAGAGTGGATGAGCTTCGGATCCTGCATCTGGTTTTCCATCGAGTCTGCGTCGTACCTGGGTTTACCTTATTATTTTTTGTATTATGCTATATTATCCTAGATTATGGTATATTCTCGTATATTGTGGTATATCATGGTATATTATGGTATCGGGCTCGGGGTTTAGGTTTCAGCGGTCTCGATATACAGGGATCGGAAGCTCCTGAGGTTGAGGGTTCAGGGCTCCGGGTTTAGGCAAGGGTTTTCGTTTATGACTTCGCGGCTTGAAAGTGTAGTTGCTTCATATCGGTTCGGGGCTGGGACCTTTAGCGTACATGGATTCAGCTCTTCTTTGGTGAAACTGTTATACTACACTCAGAAGCATGACCAGTGTACTGGACTCAAAATAAACAGCCTGGATGCTGCAGGTACGAGAGCTTGACGATCCACTTTGGAACAGGCAATCCTTTGTCGTGGGTCTTGAAGTCGAACAAGTGATGGTGTGCGTCCAAGATTTCAATCTCCGGATCGACGGCATCTTCTTCATACTGCGCATCCCACTCGTTGATGGGCCACCTTACTGCTGAGCTCGCCGCAGGAAGCACATCGGAATACAAAACCCCATACCTTTCATTAGATAGCTATGATTGCCTGGTGAAAAACAAGCCGTTGGCCCTTGGCTGCATACTAGAACAAAACTAAAAAATGATTCCGAAGAACACCCAGAACCAAGCCACTTGTGTTTCCGAAGCCCAAGCAAAAACCTGACATCCACCCCTGCCAGAAGCTTCACTAGCCCGCAGCAGCACTCACAGGCCATGCTGGCGGACAGGCAGCTATCCACCCCTAACTGGCTCTTAAACCTTCAGTGCTGGAGCCAGATTGCGAAGAGAGAACTGGTTCGGGTTTAGGGTATAGGGTTTCTGAATTCAGGGAATTCAGGGACCCCTCAGAGCCCAGTTGCAGATCGTAGGGTCTGAATATCCCACTCTAATTGCAACAGGAAACCTATGGAATCATATTGGGTTAGTGCTCAGACCTCTGTAGTATGTAGCGGGCTTAGGGCCTAGGTTTGCTGCTCCTTTTAGGGTTTAGGGTTGAGTGTTTAGGGTTGAGGGTTTAGGGAAATGCTTATGTGTTTGGGCCACGGAGCTGATTGTGTGATTCAGCAGCAGGTATAGGGAATACAGATTAACATAGTCACTATGATAAACAGAAGCTAAAACTCCAAAGTCCTGAAGGCCTGTACCCTAATCGCAGAAAACAAACCGGCGGCGTTATGGTTCCCTACCAGGTGCTCTACTGTTCTATCTATCCGTTTGTCTCTCTACTCGCTCGGCGTTCCTATTCGGGAAAGAACAACAAGCACAAAAGATACTGGGCGCACAATACAAGCAACAATGGAAGCTTAAACTCCTACTACCTTAAACCCTGAACCCCAGTAGCCCTAGTACAGATATTGAAGCCTGAACCCTGGACTTCTTAACCCTGAACCCTACTAAACTCCTTGTCTAAGGACTTTGAAGCCCTCAAAGGCAGGAGACGCCTCAGCTCCAACCAGAACACCAAAGCTAGTTAGCCACTTTGCGTAGAAACGACTCATGCACACGACAGGGCTACTATAAGGGCCTTGAAGGTGAGAATAGGGCTCCGGGGTACATCATCGTATGATATCTATCTATTTCTGTACCTATCTGTATTTGTATCTATCCATCTATGACCTCAAACTCATCTCCTAGAACCCGGGGTGCGACAATCTCTCTAAGCTGCTCGAAACAACAACAAATCTCCATCACCAAACCCAGAGTCCAAAGTTTCCGAACCTTGAAGTCCCCACGACCACGTCTTGCAAGACACCTCAAACCCTAAAACTTCCAGAACCCCAATCGAACAATTCCACTTGGGGGCTGGATACCCTGTAGGGTTTAGGGTTTAGGGCTTTTGGGCTTAGGGTTTTGGGGTTTAGGGTTTTGGGGTTTGGGGTTTAGGAAAAGGCTAACCTTTCAGCTTTGGCAGGACTCTATGAACCCCCAAAAGCTTGAAGGATAATTACCTACCTTGCCCCTAAGCCCTAAACCCTATACCCGAAGAAAAAGCCCTCAACAATAGCCCTAAACCCGAGGAGCATCTGACTTACTAAGCAAGATGATAGGCAAACCCTAAACCTCCAGATCACCTGAGCCCTAAACCCTGAACAATAAACCCGTCGATCCCCTGATCCTTAAACCCTACACCCTATACCTCTAAATCCCCTAAACCCTCGAAATAGTAGGCCATGACCCCCGAATTCAGGTCGGATGCTGCCTTTTTGGCCTCTGCTTTTTCGTCGTCCATGGCTTCAACCTGGTCAAACCCGCCGCTCAGGCTTCGTGTGAGTTTAGAGTTTCGGAGTTTAGAGCTTTGGGTTCGGGATGGCAAAGGTTTTGATTTCTGCAGGGCCTAACTGTATAAAGGTTTAGGGCATCCTCTGGACGTTTGATTTAACGAACCCTCTTTCTTCAACTATGAAATTACGCACAAAGATATTTACATCATGATCAGCATTGATGGAGTTGCTGGCCCTGAACACAGAACCCTTTAAGCGCCCTGGTGCAGGGCGTCCTCGTGCCCAATAAGGTCAGACTATGTCCTCCCTAAGCCCTGCACGGTCTTCGCGGAGATTCCTCCTCCGCGTGTCGCACAGAGGTCCGCAGGCGAGAGAGTGTACGTCTCATCGCACACGAGACACAGGATTTGAGCTTCGACTTCGATGATGTCGGAGACCGGTGCCACTCAAATGACTGGCGGCGATACCATTTCATCATGTCCCAAACCCTGAACCCTTCCGCGAAGCTAGCAGGAGGGAACCAGAACAAACACCTGCCAGGGCGGTCACAAGGCTTTACCGTCGAGAAGTGGCGCCAAAAGCCGGGATAAAACGATTGAAGCACCTGAAAAATGAATGATCGCAAAAGGACATGTCTGGCTTCTCAAACCCAAACAACCTTTCAAAACTCTAGCATAGTTCCTGCCTAACTTGACACCCGATGAAAACCTCACCCCACAACAAACTGCACCCTCTGAACTTCGACCCCAAAGCCTAAACCCGAAACCCTAAACCCTAAACCTCAACCCTACCCCTAAGCCCCGAGCCTGCGAAGTGGCTGCAAACGGCAGCTTGGCATTGGGCTTCCCATGAATTGAGCCGATGATGTGACCGCCGGTTCAGGGTCCAGGGTTTAGGGTTTAAGGGTTTGCGGCCAAGGATCAAGGTTTGACACTTTGAGGCTTTAGGGAAGGGTGCCTTATTTTTGAAGGGGAGGGGCTCGTTAGGGGTCCCTTTTTCATCCACCCTAAACCCGAAGAAGCTAAACCCTGAACCATAAACCCTAAAAATCCTTCAGGATTTAGGGTTTAGGGTTCAGGGTTTGGGGTTTTAGGGTTTAGGGTTCAGGGTTCAGGGTTTAGGGTTTTTGGAGGATTTGGGATGGTTTTCTTTGGGGTTTTGGGGGGCGCTTGAAGAGGTTTGTTTTGGTGCTGAGGCATCGAAGCGTGGTAGCTTAGGCTGTAGGTGCTTGATGCTGACCATACGTGCCTCAAAATCCGGCTGGCTAATGAGGATCCTACAGGATGAGCAGGGCTTCGGACGGATCACATCTTTTCGAAGAAGGGTTGCTTTCAGGTTCAAGGTTTAGAGGGTTTTGCAATTTAGGCTTAAGGCTGTTTAGGCTTCATAAGGTTGTAGGATGTAAAGTTTTGGCTTTGCTCGGTCCCCCCGTGCTCTGCGAACGTGAAGCACCTACTGCGCTGAGTTTGGGCTTGGACTTACCGAGGGGTCTTGAGTCTTGAGTCACAGGGCTGCCTATGCGCATGAAGAACCACAGACCCTAACTACTTTCGACCTCGGACGTCAGGGTCGGTCGTTCTTCTGGGTTCGGGGGTGTTGGCTTCTCAACTGCAGTGCAACCATAACCCATAATCTCATAAAGAACCCTTATGAAAAAAGTCATGCCCTTGGAAAATCACTAAATCATATCACAACCTGTGAAGCACCCCAGAAAAAAGAGGGTGGGACGCCCTCGGGCCCCCATATTGACAGTGTTTTTAGAGTGCTTTGCTAGTTATTCCTTGTTCAATAACCCCCCTGTTAATCTAAACTAAATGCAGCCGGCACAACCAGGTTCTTGTTGAAGCCGAGAGACCTTGGTTGTGGCATTCACTAGTACTACAAGTACGTGTGTAGTAATTTCGGCTGGTGTAGGTAAACCACTGAAATACTCTCACTTCCACTTCTTTCTCCCCACACCGCGTTGACCCGGTCGGCGAAAGCCTTTCTTGCACAAGACTCTGCTGTGTGCAATCTTTTATAATACTGTTTGGATATCCTTCCTGTGTGTCTACGATCGTCGAGTAGAGAATTGTATGTTATGGTGTGGGCGCTTCGCATTACATGAGAAGCAATGGAATCGTACAAAGCCTATGGTCGTGATGACGGGACATACGAGAGCACTTCTGGCTCGGAGTCTTTGTGGAAAGTCGAAGTTGTCGGCATTATCGTGAGCTTCTGTGACTAGCTGGACACTTCCTGATTGTTTTCCTGACCTTCACCGCAGGCTTCTTGCAGACATAGGCATGGGATGCATGCTTGTGGAGGAGGCCAGCCTTTTTCATTGTCTTCCTGTGAGCGGCATGCGGATTGAGGTACGTAGCCTGATCAGTAAGGACGAGCTTGTTGTGTCGCTTGGCGTAGACCAGGACGAGAAATCGGTGGGTGGAAGGCGAGGTTGTGTTCAAGGTTGTGGCATAACCTCTGAACCAGGAGAACACTTCTTCCGATATGCTCGTGTTGACGTTCGCAAGCCGTCGTTGGAGTCGCAAATGATTGTGAGGTGAACAAGGACACCCATCACAATGACCTCGGGCATGAAACTTATCAACGCACCAATACCTGATACTCGAAAGCTCCTCTTTCTTGGAAGCAGCCTTCAAAAGGGAACACATGCGGTCGTACAAGACGCAGTCCACCTCCGAATACTGTTCGATTGCACGGATCAAAGCCTTCAAAGCAAGCGCGTTGTTCTCGGGCTCGCGCATCTATTCAATCCCAATAATGCAACCAGTGTCTGGGTCGGTTAACATGAACCAACCGTTGTTCGACTGCTTTACCGATCCATCACCTCGAGGACGTCCACCTCGAGCTGGTGGGGCGTGTGTGCACCTGGTAGCAATTTTCTCATGACCGTCCATGCTTATGGCCTTGACCTTCGCAGGCATCATGTCCGGGATTGCCTCCGTGTGCCACCAGTTGATGTACTCGGTCAACCATATCCGGGATCTCTTTGTCTACTCTTTGTCCCCTTCTGGTCCCCTTGTCCCCCAGCTTGGCCCATGGATTGTCCCTCCCTATCCCCTGTATTGTGTCTTAGGCTTTTTGCCTCAGTTGTCCCGTGTTGTCCGTTGGCACGCGTGTCCCTCTGCATGCTCCTCCTTTACTTTGCTCCCTATGCATGTTCTGTTACGCATGCTTCAGCAAGTCTGTAAAAAACAAACTTGCATTCTTCTCTTGTACATGCTCATGCCAACATGATGAATATCACATTTGAAGCACATGTAAGCAAGAACGTGCAACATTAGCCGTCTTTCCAAAGTAGCGCAACACAAGGTCTCTTGGACACAACAAGCGCTACGAAAACTTGTGTCGAGGCATATCGCCACAGACCTTGCAACCAAGGACTGGCATTGCGAAAATTTAAAACTACGAGGGGATTACTGCATACCGTCATTATTTAGACTTGCCCAGTATTCCCAGTCCGCCCAAGATCGTCGTCGCCAGGTTCGCCA